ATTACAGCATTATAGTTTGAGAATACTGTATATGGTACTTAAGAGACTGTACTGTACATTCCTTATTTCAAACACAAAGAGTGAACAAGAAATTATCATAAACTGCCTCAGCATGAGCTTGTCAAAAAATAATCTCAATCTGTCAGTTAGGACTGGTACAGTTTTCATAGAGCTACTGATCGACTGTACATGTGTGTACAGGGATTACAGAGAGTAGATGAAAAGAATTGATTAAAATTTTTCATTTCTCTATCTTGGTACAGTACCTGGTAATTTAACCTGAATAGCTATCTTTACAGAGAAGACCTGAGAAGACTGGGGATAATGGAGGCCATGATTTATGTAGTAAAACTCCTTAAATACTATACTGTCAAAATGACAAACTTCACTGATTATGACAACAAATGTGATTAAAGATTAAGACTTTATTTAAATTTTTTTCTTTCCAAGGATCAAAATCACCTGATTCAAGTGTCAGATAAGTCTGTGGCAGTTCATAAAGAAAATTCTGCATATTTTATACTTTTATCCTGAGTTCATCCCAAAAAATAATTAATTACACGATCTTATTTGTGTAGAAATGACATATACGAGCTAGAAAAAACTGAAAGAAAAGACGTTCTGTATAAAATCATTAATATTAAAATACTAGTAAAATTCTTACACTGTACAGTTTATATTCTGGTACAATACTTATATTATCTGGACCAACTGTGACTTTTACTTGTCATAGGGACGGCATACCAAAGCTAATGGTTGCAGGTCAGAGGTAAGCCACAACCTAACCTAACCATACCATTAACATAGGTCCAATTATAATTAGATCCAAATTCTATTGATTACATTGGATTGAAGTATTGTAGACTTATTAGGATTGAGGCCCATTTGACCAATCCTCTGCTCATTAGCCTGATCTAACTGGTAACATTATGCTCACCTGAAGCTTCAGTAAAGGTTATTATACTTCCTCACACAGCCCATCCCATAGTATGAACCAGATTATAGTAAGCAGATGCAAACGCTTGTCTGTTAATGGTTATTGCACATAACAACAAAAAACTTAACTGGACAATAATAACAAAAATGATGCTAATAACTCTGAACAAGAGCACTTTGACATGAAAAGAGGTTATGAGAAATGATATTAGACCTAAGAGCCTGATAAGAGGTCGTAAATCATTGTTGTTAAAGATGATGAGACAAGCTAAAAAAAATTTACGGAGTGAGTAGAAGACTAAATGGTAATTTGTTATTCTTTGCACTTAAAAGCATTATCTATTCATTATGGCATCTGGTTATATGATTGGGGTTCATCAAAATTATTTGAATATTGTTTATGACCAAATGAATTCTTGAGTTACGTTGTGTATATCTTAGTTAGTCTTCTCAGGTGACACACACAACCACAGTATCTTTTACCCCAATCCTTCCTTGAACACTTAACAATCCCTAAACACCTTCCATTTGTTAAAACCTTCCATGTATCTTAATAATCCCCCAAAATTCCTCTTAATCCTCATGATTCTTAAAGAGATTGCATGAATCCTGATGCTGGGGAAAGGTGCTCAGAATGAAGACTAGGGAACTTACGGTAAACACGGGAGTAAAAAATAATGTAAGGGAGAAGATAGGGAACCACTATTAAGATGGACCCATGGACAAATGACACATACACACACACACATACATACATACATACATACATACATACATAATACATACATACATACATACAATACACATATACAGTAGTACCCCGATTTACGCGGTCAATTGAACCCACAGGGTACCGCGGAAAGTGAAAACCGCGTAAAGTGAACAACAGAACATATGGGATTAATTCCAATAGAGACTGGCCCGACCCAAACTCCACTTTTTCCGACACAATACCTACGCTGTAGTAAAAATAACATCTAAATTTTACATACAATTAAGAGAATCAGTGATGACCAAACTCTCTTTCCAGCCTGCCACTGGCCCCTACCTCTCTGAGAAATGATTGGGTGAAACACTAGATTTTAACGTTTAGTAATAAATAATACCTCAGACTAAAGTTAGGATAATATAATTGACATTTCTGGATTCCTTGCAGGTCAGGGAATATTTTGAATGTAAACTTCATATATTTTGCACAAAAGATAAAATACTTGCTTTGTGTAAACCAAATTATTACATTAGATCTAAAATTTGTATGTCTAATGCAAAATCCATGATGTTTATATTCAAAATGATCATATTGTAAGAATTCCAGCAATGTAAATTATATTCTGGCCGGGTAATTTGTATGAATTTTATGAGCTAAATAAAAAAAAATATATATATATACTTCACCGCATATATGAGTAGATGCACCGCGGAAAGTGAAAGTCCGGTTCTGGCAAGGTAGCGCGTAAATGAGAAATCACGGAAAGTGAAACCGTGTAAAGCGAGGTAATACAGTATACATACAAACACAACACACATCCACAAGCATACAACTCTCTCTCAACTAGGAGGTGATGATGGGAAGTGAGAAAAAGAGGTCGAGTTTCCTGTGTTTGTAAAGTACAGTACTGTACAGTGCAGTACAATTAACCATCCCTACCCGCTCACTCCCATGCAACACCAGTGAAACCTTAAAAGTTCAACCCTTTATATTGAACATCCATTTGCTCCTTCTAGCACACTGGCTGTAAAATGCCTAAGCCCCCTAAATATGTGAATAATGCAACAAATTTCTAGTGTGAGTGACCAATTAACACTGATTTTCAACTTGTTATGTCCAAAAAAGGTAATGAAGTGTAATTTTGTATATACTGTTATGTAACTGTTGTGTATATTTCATTGTGTATACAGTAGGTTCTTGCCAATAACGACTTCCACAATAACATTTTCGACAATAAAGTTACAATAAATACCCATTTTCGATAATAACGTCTGGATTCTCTTGAATAACAGAGATTTCGCGGGAAGCGTCCGAGCGCATCAAAGATAGCGTTTGTTTGCCGCCATGTTGATGACATAGTTGTCCGCTCCTCCTCACTCTCACTCTCATGCATGCTCCGTGGAATACAGCACTGTTCCCAAGTGTGAGATTTTTGCCTCTATAACCAGTGGTTGCTAGGGTCAGTGGTCAATAATGGCTTCTGTATTTTTGCCTGTGGGGGCTAGGGGAGGTGGTAGAGGGAGTGATTTGCCGCCTGAATGCCCGAGAACATTTAAAGTGAATGAGGAAAAAGACCCCAAAGCTCAGAGACAAAGCCACAAGAAGCGTGCCTACTCGGTCAAGGATGAAGAACAGATTGTTGAGCTCATTGAAAGTGGTGCACGGAACATTGATATTGTGAGGAAATTGAACTGTCCTGAGTCTACAGTGCGAAATATTAAAAGGAACTTAGAGGAGAGCAAGAAGAGTATTGCGCTGGCTAAGAAATATTTCGGTACTGATGGAAATGCGAGGCGAGCTATGAATGATAAAAGTGACAGAAAGTTGACGAAGACATTGATGACATTAGGGAAATGCCTGAAGATTTTGACTTGGTGGGGTTTGATGAAGTGTTAGCAGAAGTGGGCAAACCGGGTGCGAGAGGCCAGCGTGGGGACGGGGATGGAGATGAAGCCAGGGAAGTGGGTGGAAGTTCAACGCAGTAGCCTCCATGCCTCAGCATCGGAACAATCATCACACCAAGCACCTCAAAAACTCCCCCAAGCTAAGTGTTATATTACTCAAATTCTGTATTTTGATGATTGAATAACAATTCTTTTTACTTCAGCTAACAAAAAGTGTTAGGAGGACTTCAAAGGGGAAAAAATGGGTAAAATTCTTGGGGCGGCGGCACCAATAAACCCTTTTTACGTATTTTAATGTCACACAAAAAAGTTTTCGCTAATAACGGCGTTTTTCAGACACCTATTAGACGTTATTGGCGAGAGCCTACTGTATGTCGAATTGTTCAGTGTTGAAGTACAGAAACTTGTACAAAAATGTACCACATGCACCATGACCATCAAAAATTAATCCGGTCCAGTCATCTTTATAGTTCCTCTTGTCAATACTATCTCTTGTCACAAGATTAACCCCTTCACCACAGGGATGCCACTTTTGACATTATATTTGTCTAATGGCAGACAATTTTGTCAGCATAGGAAGGATCCCATATACAAGGGGTTAAACGAGGCAATCAAGGACGAACAAACATGTCCACACTTCACAGTGGTTTTATAAACAGTGAAGTAAGAGCCACAGTACTCTACCTAACAACATTTATACAGCATTGTCCATAACATGACATACTTGAAAGGGGGAAAAGAGAGTCAATGGTTCTGTAGTTATTTGAGATTATTTTTTTTTTGTCTATCTCCTCTTGATTAAAAAAAAAATCCTAAAATAAAATCCTTCAAGTCAGTAAGCCCTACACATACATTACATACTGCTTGTACTAATGGCTTTCATCCCTGAAATTTTCAGAAAAATTAAACAACCAATATTTTCAGTTATGGTTCTTAACTCCTACAACTGTACTACTTTGAGATTACTAGTATTTATCAGTGAACTAAAAGCATAGGCCTTCCTTCCAACAAAGGTCCTTCAGAAATTACCCAAGTGAACTGATATTTAAACACATTCTTCAGCTGTATTGTATTTTGAATCATCTGGAAAAGTTATGAGTGTGCAGATTGAGCAACAAGAAGAAAAGTTAGTGTGTGAGCTTCTGATCATATGCTGTACTGTATAAGAAAGATCTCTATTTTTACTGTGTTATCTTCTTTCCAATATATTCATCACTGTTCAGTTTCAATAATTTTGTATTGTTTCATACTGTATTTCATAATCCAAAAAAGTGCTTTTCCTTAAACTTCTAACACATAAAACTAAACAAATCAAGAAAATTTCTGATTTACAATAAGGTCTCATTCAAATTACACAACACATCAAACAAAACATTTCATTGGAATGGAACCCAAAAGTCATGCAAAAATATAAAGATATTACGGATAATCGGTTTTTGGTAATAAGGTACCTGGAATTCATCGTAGCCCATGGTGGTACACTCCTCACACATCAAGTGGCAGCACTGGACTTTGACGGTGGACTCGTAGCCGCGGGACTCCTGCACCACCTGCATCCGACTCATTTTGAACGTTACTACTGATATCTGGATAAAAAATGTTATACAGTAGTATTTTCTTTACATTAAAATGGCACAAATGTCTGGGGAACAATAATCACCTACAATAATAGGAACAAACTTACTTTGCTGTACAACTGTGTAATGTTACATGAACAAATGTCTGCCTCATTCTTTAAATACTACTGTACAGTAATGCAAATTTTAAAAACACAGGGTAGGGAGGACTATAGCACTAACACTGTAATTATTAATTTGAAAACATATTTTTACTCTAAGCTCTTACATATAACATGAAATCAATGTTATGATAATCATTACTGTTAGTATTGTTTCTCATGATCTTCTGTAAATAGGTATTTTGTACATATGAATATTACTTTACTTAACTTTACTTTACTTTAACCCTTTCACCGTGTCGGCCAATTTCAGCGGTATTCCCCAATGAGTGCCAAAAGTCACTAAAAAATGAAAATGCTTTCATTAACGTTTGAACTTTTTTTAAATTATAAAAGTGTGAGGAATCCATATTTAACAATTAAAAAGTCATAAAATAATAATATCTAGGATAAATTTACGATTTGTGGGAAAACACTTTTTTTACCTTTTTTCTATGTTCATAATAATGGACAATATCATAAGTAGATATGTCAGATTGTATAAACTGCAACGATAGTTTATCTTCCATTGAAGTCACATAATTTTATATTACTGACCATTATTCATATATATATATATATATATATATATATATATATATATATATATATATATATATATATATATATATATATATATATATATATATATATATATATATATATATATATATATATATATATATATATCATGTAAATTCAATGAAATACGGGGTTTGAATATCTGAGTTTATTGGCCTTTTATTCAAGACATCTTGAATAAAGCTAAAGCTAAGGCAATTCGCTGTTTTCCATTTTCCCGTTTTATATATATATATATATATATATATATATATATATATATATATATATATATATATATATATATATATATATATATATATATATATATATATATATATATATATATATATATATATATATATATATATATATATGTTAACCTCACTTTTACGACACGTAACCCGGAGGGTACCGTGGAAAGTGAGGAACGCGTAAAGTGAATAACATAACATATGGGATTAATTGAAATGGAGTCCGGGCCGATCCCCAAACTCCACTTTTTGACGACACACAACTATGTTGTAGTAAAAATTTTATCTTAACTTTATGATGGTATGAAAAAACAAGTAATATAGAAGAGGTTAGGTTAGGAAAGATAAAGGTTAACATAGGAAAAATAAAGGTAAGGTTAGAAAACTAAAAATTATGTGGAACACTTACGGTAGTAGAAGAGATGGGTCGGCATACGGGGATGGAGGCTGGTTCCGAGGCAGAGGGCAGATTATCACACCTTCAAACCACATCACTGGCTTGGGCTGGCTGTGGTGGGTTGCGGGTGAAGAAATCTGTTATGCTTTGCTGACGGCTGGCGTTGATGTTGTCGTGATACACCTTGATGTACGGCTCCATAGCCTGCACCAGCCGGTTATGGAAGACTTCATAGCGGTCATCGTCATTGTCGCGGGAAAGGAAGGACTTCATCTTCTCTGCACACTCCATGGCACCCATGGCACTTAAATTGTGTTCTTCGGAGACTGACGCACCTTCTTCCTCCTCTTCACTGACGTGTTCTTCTTCCAACATCTCGTCGGCAGTCACTTCAGGATTTCTGATCACCTCCAGGATGTCGTCGTTGGTGGTCTCGGAGAAGCCTGGAACTGTAACAGTCTGCGCAGCTTCTCTGGCAAGGTCCACTGCTACTGCAACATTCTGAACCTCACCAGTCACAGATTGACTCCTCCTCTCACCTGGTATTCCATGCAACACATGTCTCCATGCGTGACGAATTGTAGCAATAGACAGCTGATCCCATGACTCCACCAAGAAGTCCACAGCTCTCTTGATGTTAAATACTCTCCAGAATTGTTTGAAGAGTATTTTTTGCTGTTCTAACTGTTGATCCTCATCTTCTTCGCTCTTGCTATCGGTGGTGGTGTCACTCAGGTTACGCAACTCTTCCCTGGTGTTGGTGTAGTCGCTCAGGACCTGGAATTTTTTTGTTGAGAATGCAGCTTTCACATTGCAAATCAACTCCTGGTCCATGGGCTGGATTAAAGACGTAGTGTTGGGAGGAAGGAAGAACACTTTTATGTTGGGGTGACGATCTAACAGTAGGGGCGAGTGTCCTGGTGCGTTGTCCAGCAGCAACAAAATATTAAATGGGACATTCTGTCGCTCACAGAATTTCTTTACATCGGGAACAAAACAGTCATCAAACCAGGAGGGACAGTGTAGAGAACATCCATGCCTTACGTGCTGTCAGCCAGTGGACATTTAGCTTGGTCATGTCCATGCTCTTGTAGGCGTGCGGCTTGCGTGCTGTGTGGATCACCGATAACTTGAGCTTACAGGTACCGGAGGCATTGGTGGTAAACAGGACGGTGATGCGTTCCTTCTGCATTTTCCGGCCCCGAATCCTGCTGGCATTCTTCACAACGAAGGACTTGGAAGGTAGTTTTTTCCAGAAAAGACCAGATTCGTCCATGTTAAACACCTGGTCGGCACTGTACTGTCCTTCCTCCATAATCTCACGTAAAAACGGAGGAAATTCCCGAGCCGCAGCACGATCAGCACTCGCTTCTTCACCACCAATGTTTATATTGGTGATCTTGTTCCGGATCTTAAACCTCTGTAACCACCCAGAGGAAGCATTAAAGGGTTTGGGCTCTGAAGTTCCCATCTTTCGTGCCACTGCCATGTACAGTTCACGTGCGTAGTCCTTAACAGAGCGCGTGTCGACCGCCATGTTCCGTCGCGCCTGACGCACCAAGTACCTCACAAGTAAATTTTCTGTCTTGAGAAGCACCTGGTTGTGAAAATACTTGATAATAGAAGCACCTGTAGACTTTGTGATCTTCATGTGCTCCTTTATCTTGGCTGAATCCTTCTTTATAGTCCGGATCATAGATTCGTTCACGCCATGCTGGCGCGCCAAATCAACCTGCCTTGTTCCTTTCTCCAACTCTTGGATGATGCTATACTTCACCTCGTAGCTTAAGGAACGTGGTGTCTTCTTTGGTTTAGTGCCGCTGGGTCCAGGTAAGGAAAGGTTTCTCTCTGGGGGTGGTGGTCCGGCGGAAGCCATTTTACGGAACAATGGATGCGCGTTTACACGGAGTGGCCTGGAGGGATGAAACTGCCGCGGCTAGGTCAAGCGTCGTCTTTCCTCCCTCCCTCCCTCCCCCGGGTGGACACGTCATAATACTTTAAGCCAATTACAGCTAGCAGCAGAGGGGGGTAGGGATGCATGGCCAATCACAGGTCTGATACGTCATATGACGTCAGTGATAACGCAACAAAGACACACACTGCGCAACCTTACCGCGCCGCTTGCCCAAGCGGAGAGAGGAGGAGGGAGAGGCAGGCAGGCAGGCGGGCGGGTGGCGAATCTAAAAATAGCGTCACGCCGGACACTCTCCGCGTAATGGGGTTCACGTACCGCGTAATGTGAGCACGTAAGGTTCTGGCAATGCACCGCGTTAACGTGGAAACGCGGAATGCGGGACCGCGTAAAGTGAGGGTTAACTGTATATATATATATATATATATATATATATATATATATATATATATATATATATATATATATATATATATATATATATATATATATATATATATAATATATATACAGTATATATATATATATATATAAAATGAAATCTTATATCTTTATGAGGCAAATGCGAAAACCACTTGTGCAGACGAGAATGTTAGTGGGTAAATGAAATAAAATATTGGAATAGACTAGTTATTCTATTGCACTTGTTATTTATTGGACTAGAATAAAGTATAAATTAAGATTACAAAGATGAAGTTGATTGTAAGACAAGGAAGTAAACCACCTTTGGGAATATACAGTATATAGGTAAAGAATAAATTAATATACAGTATATCCATAAAAGATTTTCCTTTCACATTTTACATGCCTCACTCACTCACATATTCCAGACATTCTGAAAGGTAAAGAAAAACATGAAATATCGGAAAACCCGTCTCAATATGCCATGTTTGGCTCTCTGGTTATCTGTGTCGCTCTATTTCCCCTTATATTATGTTTCCTTTCTCCTCTATTAATTTTGTACTACAGCTTTCTAATACATATTTCATATAGCACACTCTTAAATTTTAAAATATCACTACAGTATATCCCATTATTCTCTATAAAAACATGAATAAACAAAATGACATAATTTTCCATCATGGCATATGCAAGAAATAAATTTACTTCCCAACTTACCTCGTTCATTTCCCTTCTAATTTAATGATTATCACACTCCAAGTGCTAGTATTGAATCTATAGAATAAAAACTAACATTATAATATAATATAAATGGTTATTACTTGTAGTTATAAAAACTGGGGAAAATGGGGAAAACACAAAGCAGCAATGTTGACTCCCAGTGTTTTGATGGCGGTAGCTTCAGCTTGACCCAATCTCCACTAGGTGGCAGCATAATTCAAACCCTGAAGGACTGTAGTCGTGTTACGCATTAACAGAAAGTTTTTTACGAATGTGGACTAATGTCGATTTACGCGGTGAAGGATAAAAATAAAAATGTGAATAAAGTTGAGCCACGCGGTGAAAGGGTTAAACTGTCATATTCAAAATACTTCTTTTTATTAATATATTTAACAAGCCTTAACAAGTTGGCCACTCATGTACTCATCTTTATTTCTTATAAAATAATTTTATATTCTGCTACCATCATTATCAAGGTGATTCTTTACTTCATCGAACTATATTCTTTGAGTTAAGACTAATACCACTACTGTACATACATCTATCTGTCTGTTGTCAAATGGTTATAACAAAACCTACCCATTAAGATGTGTTCCCCTCTCCTCGTGCTTCACTTCTCTATC